ATATCAAGCAACTTACTGTACACAGAATCACAGAAAGGACAGAAACGTGCACAGAAAGAACACATGGCAAAATCCTGGCTCCAAGGGACATGATGCTGTCCCAGTGGCCCTGAGCTGTGCCCAGAAGGCCAAGGTACAAGAACTGTCCTTTGGGCCAATGCTAGACTCGTCTTTCAGGTGGCCCTGTAGGCCTTGTCAGCCAGCACTGCAGTTGAGCAGCTGCCTTTCGTATCCTGTTTCCTTCCTCTCCTTGTCACCTCTAAAATATTTACAGGGAGATCTGTCCTAGCTTGCCAGATCCACCAACCTATGGAAAGGCAACAATACTGTTTAAAGTAACACTGTGTCATGTAGCTCAGTGTTCTTAGAAGTGAAACCCATGCCAACAACAGCAGGCAATTTAGTGGAGTCACATTGCTATAAGGTTCTTTTTTCAATATTTTTATTATTTTTATTTTATGTATATGACTGTACTGCCTGCATATATGTAAGTGCATCCATGTCATGCAGTGCCCACAGAGGTCAGAAGAGGGTGTCGGATCCCCTGGGACTGCAGTTACAGACAGTTGTTAGCCGCCATGGTGCTAGGAACCAAACCCAGGTCCTCTGAAAGAGCAGCCAGTGCTCTTAATCACTGAGCCACCTCTCCAGCTCCTTGCTACAAGGTTTTTATATTTTATAAAAACACAACGATAAATTGGGGGTGCTGTTGTGTGACTTTTCTTGGGGAGATATGAACAGTCTTCTATTAAACTCACATAGGACACTCATGACAGACCCAAGAAAGGATTATACACGAGTCTAGCTTGCCGAACCAATGGGTTTACTGGTTACTTGCAGGAACATGGGTGATTCAGGCAGCTACATCACCAAAAAGTCCACCCCAGCATGGTGATGACTCACAGGCTGCATGCCTGGAGCTCCCTGCACAACCTATAGGCAGCTCCACTAGAGAGTCTCCTCTCCTTCAGGAGTTGTTCATTGCTTTTATACACAAGACCTAGGCAGACAGTTGCTACAAGGCCACCAGGATCCTAACCTCTTTCTCTGGGACCCAAGAAAAGAAAAGAAAAGAAAAGAAAAGAGAAGAGAAGAGAAGAGAAGAGAAGAGAAGAGAAGAGAAGAGAAGAGAAGAGAAGAGAAGAGAAGGGAAAAATGTTAGAGTAACAAAAAACCAAAGAAAGAAGAAGAAAAGAAAAGAAAAGAAAAGAAAAGAAAAGAAAAGAAAAGAAAAGAAGGGAATTCCAGAGCCTGAATTTCTCAAAGGCCTCAGCATGGCTACCTTTTCATTCAGTCAGATAAAGGCTCATCAGCCAGCCTGTTTATGGCCACAACTGGGCCAAAACTTGTCTACCAAGCCCCCTCTAAGGACTTCCTTGGCTTCTCCCCACCTATAGATAGCAGTGAAGTAGACCCTACCAATGTGGGGGGGGGTGCTAGAGGGCACTGCATAGCCCAAGACCTACCCCTCCACCTAGAGAACTACAGGGCATGGATGAAGGGCACCAATGTTCCAGAGTTAACACATACACCAGACAGTTAAAGCCACACTCACTCTTCCCTCAGCAGAGTAGTGGGTGCCTCAGTCAAAGCCCTCACCAGAGCCTTCTGCCAGGGGCTAAAACAAGGGCTAAGTCTGTGCTCAGATGGAGGCTCAGATTCAATGGAGAGCTCAGGGAAGGGCTCAGTTCATAGGGGAGATCTCAGGGAAGGATCAAGGGGGAAGTGCTCAGGTCAGGGCTTATGGGAGGGCTTGAGTGCAGGCTCAGGTCTAGGTTCTCCGGAATTTGAGTCCTAGGTACATCCTTGGTTTGAAAGTTGTGTTTGACAGGGCATGGTGATGCATGCCTTTAGTCCCAGCACTCAAGAGGCAGAGGCAGGCAGATCTCTGTGAGTTCAAGGCCAGCCTGGTCTACATAGTGAGTACCAGGCCAGCTAGGGCTACACAGAGATCCTGTCTCAAAAAGGCAAAAAGAAAAAAAGAAAAGGAAAAAGAAAGAAAGAAAAGAAAAAGAAAATTGTGTTTGTACTTCATCTGTGCCATAATACTGACAAGTACAACATAAAATTGCTAATATGCCTTAAGCCTCTGCCACAGATTAAGTGTTGCTTACTGATCAAGCTTGTTATTGGTGAAATGCAATCATTACTAATGAAATGAAAGTTAATAATGAAAATTGGAGGCAATGCTACTTAGCCTGGCAGAGAGTTTGGTTTTGTTTTTTTTGTTTGTTTGTTTGTTTGTTTGTTTTGTTCTTTGGTTTTTGTTTCTTTAGGTTTTAAGGAATAGTTCTGATCAAACAGACAACCAGTTCAAAGTGGTGCTGACCAGTGGTTACCTGGGCCAATTCCAACTAAGGAGGCAGCTACTCACCTCAATGGCCACACAGGGGCGCTGTATGTCAGCACATAAAGCTGGAGCGAGATCCGGGCCGTACAGAAGATGCTGAAATGAGGCTAACTGGTAATTGGGTGAGGTCTCAGGGATGTGGAAAAACCTGAAGGGTCTGGCGGTCCGGGTGCATCTCTGGGATGGGGAGGGAGGCAGAGGAGAGAAGTGAAGAGTCTCAAGGCTGGGCCAAAGAGAGGGCCTCCGGGACCTTCAACAGAGGGGAGGGGTTAAGGGTTTCGGGAGGAAAGATGGAGACCTTCCGGAAAGGGGCAAGGAGAGTGGAGGGGGTCTTGAGCTGGAGGCGGGGCCTGAGGGTTGGGAATGGCTGGGAAAAGGCTGGCAGGAGAGGATTGCGGTAAGACACCCACGGTTCTGGGGCTGTGAAGGGCCCAAGAGCTAGGGGTTCTGAGATAGAGGGTCTGTAAACCCGAATCAGTCCAGGAAGTGGGGGAGTGTGTGGCCGGGGTACTTCCCTAGGCAGCCTCTTTCTTTGCTTGTCTCGCCCTGGAAGTAGGGAAAGGGCATGAGATCTGATCTAGAGTAGTCAAGAGTGTTGTGCAAGAGGTCATTCCCCCATCCCAGATATTAACCCTTTGAGGGAGGGTTCTCAGTGATTTGGTGTGTCCTTCATGCCCAGCAGACTGGGGAAGGACCACTGGGGTAGAGAGTTCATGGGCCAGGCCCACCCCAACCTCCATGGAATTGGTCAGAGAAGCCAGTGAAACCTGGCCCCAGCCAAGAGCACAGCCAGCCCAGAGGTAGAACTGCAAAGGGTAGACAGAGCCCGCCAGAGAAAGGTCCAGCAGGGCTGGGAAAAAGAACCTATGAGTGTGGTGTATATGCTGTGCTGGCCCATTGCATGCCTCAGGTGGGTGGGTGACCCAACTGAGGTCACCTTCCTCCCCAGCACCTACCTTTCATTTATGCTCACTGAAGAAATCTTTTTTTTTTTTGTCTTTTTGAGACAGGGCCTCCCTGTAGCCCCAGCTGTCCTGAAACTCACTATGTAGACCAGGCTGGCCTTGAACTCACAGAGATCTGCCTGCCTCTGCCTCCCAAGTCCTGGGATTAAAGGCATGTGCCACCACGCCCCACCCTGAAGAAATCTTTATACTCAGGGCATAGAGTCCCTGGGAGCACACCCTGAGCCCCAAAGCCTACTATGTGGGCCATGATCTCCCCAACAGGGATCCTGGCAGGTGGTAGCAGGGTGAAAGAGTCTGTCTGGACCAACTGTCTACCCAGGGAATCCCCAAGGCCCAGCAAGTCCAAGCCACCCCTGCTACAGGGAAAATATGTGAGATGATGCCCCTGCCCAAGACAGATTCCAAAACCTACCCCAGGACATGGGTGCCAGCCTATAGTCACCCATCCAGCTCCTGCCAGTGTCACTGGAGCCTTCACTAGGATCTTGGATGGCCCAAGTTAGCCTGTTTTCATGTGGGGCTGTCTTCAGGCTCCTATCCAGTACATGCCTCTTGGGGAAGGGGAGAGGACCTTCAGGACCTCTGGTGTCTCCATAATTGCCCTGCAAGACCCACCACTGCACATGCTTGTGGGGATCCAAGATTCTAACGCAGAATCTTCCAGAGGCACACTGACTTACCCACCCAGAGCCCCAGAGAAAGGTTTCTCCTGGCAATTTTCAGCTTCCTGGGAACTCTGGTGCAGGCCATGCCTGTGACAGGAGAGACAGGGTGACTGGATACCACTGCAACTGCTACCCCACATGCCCCAGTACCCTAGGCCTCTGGAAAATGGAAACCTGGGGCTGGTCACAAGTGGTGGAATATTCTGGCTTCATTGGACAGCATTTCTCAAACCCATAACCCGAAGCCCTTCCCTGGCTCCCTGCCACCACCACCACAACCCCGTTGGGATATGCCACCTACAGGTCACACAAAAAGCGGGGGGGAGGGGAGGCTTACCAACCATGCATCTGCTGGGGCTTTATTGTTCCCCCAAATGGAGTAGGAGCTTGGCAAGTGGCCTGTTCAGAAAACCCCAAATGATGTTAATCACCACCTGAGAGCCTTGGGCTGGAAAGCAAGATTGGCCACAGATTCCTGTGCCCTTGCAGGATGCACACAACAAGAGTCCAGAATTCCTCATGGGGGTGCTTCTTCTCTGTCCACCCCTATTATGGTAGTCTGAGGGTCTCTGTAACAGAGAGAAGGCTAGGTCACCAGGCCCACCTCCCTCCTGCAACATTCTCTGTAACAGATTTTTGTTTTGCTTTACTGGAGTTTGACACAGATAGATAAAAGCACCTAGAACTCACATGTGCAGCTCAGAAAATACTCAGGGTGAACATCCACAGCAGCAGCCTTCTGTCCTGGAGACAGGAGGAGCAGGGCCACTATAGAGGGGTCTCCAATGGCTTAGTGGGGGATGAGGCTGCTAAAGGGACACAGTGGGTGCAGGGCGTGGTCAGGCTTACACTGGGAGGTGCTGAGGTTCATCCTGTACATGCATATCAGCCAGAAGATGCTGATGGTCAGCAAAATACAAAGAGGTTTAGTCTGGGCACTCACCCTGCAAGTGACCCCGCAGAAGAAGAACTCTTCCTCCTGGTGGGACCCACGATTGGACCCACCAAACCTGGACCTCAGCCACCTCTTCTTTTGTAGCCATAGGTGACAAAGCCATTGCATTGGAAGCTGTTGGCCATGTAACTGGGACCTGTACATTTTATGATACTGAAACCTGAGGAGGGGATGGTGATGGTGTCCTCACTGATACAGATGGGACAATTGGCATTGATCTGCAGAAGGACATTGTGACTGACAGAGGCTGTGTCCTGTCCACTTTCCTTCTCTTTATCTTTGCTGAAGTTGGTAAGAGTCTTTGACATCAGCACTAAAGATGAAGGGGAAGGTAATAGAGCCCTCCTTACTGATAATGGGCCCATCAGCCTGGGTCTCCAGAGGCTGGTTGTGACCACTGATGGCAAACCTCTGGCCACTGTCTTCCCTCCCTATGTCCTCAGCCCTGTCAAGAAGGAATCTTTGCCTCTGATGATGTTGGTTAAGGAAAAGGGGAAAATGACAGTGCCCTCCCCATTAGCCTTGAGGCCAATGATATAAAACACTGGGGACAGGTTATTTCCAGAAGTAATGGGGACATTGTTGAAGGAGATAGGGCCCTGGCCCCTGGCTACACCAATGGGGCTAAGAAAGGAGTCCCAGCCTCCAAACAGGAAGCCTCTGAGTTCAAAAGTCTTCATGCAGCTGTTTGGAGACCTGGTCCATGGAAGATAGAGACTCTGATGTTTACCCTTGGGCACAGCCTTGGCACTTTTAGTGGATGGAGCCCTGACCAATCATGAGTAGTACTGCTACCTGCTTGAAGGGACTGTGAAATAGTGTTCCTATGGCTTTAAAAATACGCTTGGTGAATTAAGCTGAACTTTGAATGTATATGTCTAGAAAGTCATGTCTCATGAGAAAATTTATTCAAGAATGCTTGATAGGGAATTACCTCCGGAATGCCAGTTCACCCTCTGGTTTCTCATGAAACATGTTGACCTCCTAAGTAGACATAGCATGGAAATAATGTTTCTGTGCTCCTCTTATTTTGCGAAATTGTGCTGGATAGCTTTAGTTGTCAACTTGACACACCTGGTTAGAGGGAGCCTCAACTGGTGAATTGCTTCCATTGGACTGGCCTGTGGCCATGTCTGTGGGGCATCTTCTTGATTATTGAGTGATGTGGGAGGACCCAACCCACTGTGAGTGATGCCACCCATGGACAGGTGGGCCTATGTTGTATAAGAAAGTAGGTTAAGCACGGGCCAGGGAAGCAAGCCAGTAAGCAGAATTCCTCCATGGCCTGTGCTTCACCTCCTGCCTCCAGATTCCTGCCCTGAGTTCCTACCTTGGGATCTATCAGCAAACTGTGACCCAGGAGTTGTAAGTTGAATAAACCCTTTCCTTCCCAAGTTGATATTGGTCAGAGTGTTTTGTCACAGCAATGGACAAACTAGCACAATTGTTATATTCTAGTCTTATAGTTATTATTTAGTAAACATTTGACTGTGGTGCTGACAAATATGAGAAGCCATTTTATTACTGTTCAGTTCTGTAGACATGTGACTGTGATTCTCACGAGTATGAGAATAAAAGCAGAGCTGTTGATATGATCAGCCCTCGGGTGCATGAAAGACCTGAGTCCCCTGGCTTATTATTAGTTCTGTGGTAATCCATTCAGTTCCTGTGGCTATCCATTCAGTTCCTGTGGCTGCCCCTGGTGACCACACCTGCTGCTGAAAGGGAGCCCTTCCCCTGGGTGGCAGGGCTATAGCCATCAGTAACATCCATTAGAGAGACGAGAATGGTGATACTGCAGTTACCCTTGCTGAGGAAGTCACTGCTGTCAGAAAAAAGTTCCTTGATGAACTCAAGCACCAGCAGAGGAAAGGTGAAGGGCTTAGAGTCAGAGCCTCTGGTGCCCTTGATCATGGGCCTACTACTGTGGGCCACCAACCATTGGCCATTGGCATCAGTGCTGTTGCCACGTGAAGAGTTCATGGAGCTATCCTGTGTGGTATCTCTGGTATCCTCTGTGGTATCCTCTTTCAGAGGATAGGTACTCTGGACCACAGACCCCCCCAGACAGGGTCTAGCACCTTCTGGAGGGAGCAGACCCCTACTTCATAGGCCTCACAGCAGTCCCCTGAAATAGATCTCAGGGCACTGTTGTTGTCCAAGGCTGTCCCCACAGCATTTCTGCAGAATATGGAGGACCAGATGCCTGAGAAAGGCTCAAACATCCCCAGGGCTCACCTGGCAGTCTCCAAAGGTGCCCAGGGAGCACAGCCTCACCCACATTCACATCCTCACCAACCCCTGGCCACAAGCCCCATTCACCACAGGTGGAGCCAAGCCCCAGGTTCATGGACAGCAATTGCACTGGAGCCTGTGAGGAAAGAGAAAACAGATGAGCAGAGGGGAGAGAAGACCAAGCTGTGGAGCCCACAGTTGAGCCCCTCGGGACTCTGCTGGAACTTGGCCTTCTTGCCTGTCTGGTGCCAAACTGATTCTGGTTTTACATCCCACGCGCACACTTCAAATCTCAAACTTCACCCACCAGCCAGCCAGGGGTGTGACCAAAATGACCCCAGCACCTACACCAGCCTATACACAAGCTCTATAGCCCTCAAGTCCCTCCCTGCATCTGCACATGGGCAAGTGCAGTTCCACTCCCCTTGTCTGCAGCCCCTAATCTGAAAAGCTGAACATATAACGCCTTCTTATCCCTTTGGTGCCAGAACTCACTTGCTGATACCTGTGGGTGCTGTTGCTTTCTGCAGCTCCTCATTTTCTATGACTCAGGGTTTCAGGTGACACAAGCAATCCTGGGGTGGGGCAGGGCAGAAGAGCGAAGATCTGAGGGATTGCCATAGATAATGGCTCAGCAAGTGAGGTGGTGACGGAGCAAACCTTGGTGGGTACCCATCCCAAAAAAGAGGTGATTCTGCCTGTCCTATGTTGGCTGAAAGGTAAATCAAGTCACACGGTGCCTGCCCTGCATCATGGTGATGGGAAATTGGGGGAGTACTTGGGGGGGGTACGTTGATCCAGGGTAGACACAGTAGGTGAGCCCCTTTGACTTTAATAGTATGAGCTATGTGAACAAGACAGCTGTATTTCTGTCCCTTCAGCTAAGAGAAACCATCTTGGGACCCCAGTGAAGGTCCTGGAGCTGGAGGTACCTGAGGCAATGCCTGTGCCTGGACCCTGTATTCTGAGACCCTCAGGTCTCCAGACAAGTGACCACTCCCTGCAACACATGTATAGCTACAAGCTGCGTGGAAGGCTTCACTTCAGTGTTGTCAAGTGAAACTTTCTGGATAGTAATATTGCTCTGAACTTGTGCCTATCACCACCCTCCAGCCACATAAGCCCACAGAGCTCTGGACCCATGTCTGAGGAGTGGCACGTCAAGCTTATCTAAGTTGGGTTCACCAGCACTCAGAAGCACTGGTGCTTCAGTTGAGGGCTTAGGTCCATTCCTGTTTAGGCCTACGTACACAACTCCAACCAGCTGCAGTGAGTGACCCACCTCTACTCACCTGCTAAAGCAGGTTTTGCTGTGGCTTTGGGACTAGAAATGTGCCTCAAGGTGCTTCATGGTCCTTGAACCTGAAAAGGCTCAGATCTACCTCATACCTGGCCCCAGGGGTTTTAGATCCTGAGAGCCATTGTATCCACATCAAAGGGGTGAGTTGCCCCCCTCTCTGCCCAGTGTCCCTACATACTGACACACTGGCCAGCCCTCTGTCTTCCTCTCAAGACCTTTGATCTGTACCCCTATGCCCAACCTTTACCTCCCAGCTCCCTGCAAAGTAAGGGCTGCCTTCCTGGGTGGAGAAGCCAGAGAAGCAGAGCAGGGTATGTCCCTGACTCACTGATGGTAGATATTATCACAACAGTAGTGACCCTTAGCTACCCCAGACTCTGAGCCCAGTCCCCCAACTCCATCTAGAAGTCTAAGGCAGCTCTCCCATTTCTCAGGTCAAGCACCCTGCCCCCAAGAACCCTTCAGCTTCAGTTTGAGGCAGTGCCATCCATGTGGTTGGTTCCTCAGACAGCGTACAGCAAGGAGCACCTGCACTGTCTAGCTCCTGTCCATCAGCTCTGATACCCGTGATGCTATTGCAGTGCCATAGAAACAGAGATGACCCACCTGCCTAAGGGCAGCACTGGCCAGAGGAGCCTAAGTAAGCCCAAAAACCACCACATTACCCTGCAGGGCCCTAACCTAGACAGCCATGTGACAACACTGAAAGTTTTCATTTCCCAGATGGTATTGCACATGCCTGGCCATGCCAAGCTGCTGGATAAAGACCAGGCAAGCCCCCGTTCCCACCCCAACAGCCCCTACTCCCTACAACACCTAGCCTGGCCTCAGAGAACAGGACAGCCAAGGCCAGCAACAAGGCACCTTCAGCCCCTCCATCCCACAGAACCCAGGAGGAGGTCTCCAAGCTCTCACCACCTCACACCTCAAAAACTCCTTCAGCTGGTACTGGAGATTGCCACTGTCCAAGTGCCCCTTGACCAAGTTTTCCTGGGGGTACAGAAGTCAGACTTCCTCTTGAAGTAGCAAAAGGTCTAGTTTGTGCCGAGGCAGAAGGGGCTTGATCTTGCCTTTGATTCAGTTTGTGCCTGTTTTGGCGTATTTCCTAGCTTTAACATGCTTCCTGACTACTATGTCCTCCAGACAGCTGTGTGTTGTCCAGGGCCTTTCCACAGCCCTAACCATAGTACAGAAAAATAATTCCAAAATGTAAAATGTAAACAAATCTCAATGCATAGCCAAAATAACTACTGTAGCAAGGTTTCTCTGACTTCCATCTGGTCCAAATTGTTATGCTTTTTGCAGTTTTGGCCTTTATAAACTCTGTACCCTGAGCTTCTGTACTGAGAGATTTTCAAAGGCACTGGTCACTCTCAGTCATGCACTAATCAATAAAGGACCCTGTTCCCTTTTAATTGGTTTATGCATGTGGCAGTGATCTGTAACTCTTTCACCTGCATATAACATCTTGGAGGCCCCAGCAAGATCCCCCACACCCACGTGATTCAGCCTCTCTCCCAACCTCCCTGAGGAGATCATAGGGTCAATGAGGAGGTTGTAGGGGAGGCACTACCTGAAGAGTTCCAGGGCCCTGCTCCTCCTAGCTGAACCCAGAGAAGTCTGGAATGACTGCCATTTTCCTAGACACTAAAACAGATGGAGTCCTCTTAACTCTCCTAGGAGGTAAGTCTGTATGTTGATGTCAATTCTGGTTTCAGGTTTGAAGGAGAGGCCCAATGGTGAACCTTCCCTAAGGTTGGGAAAGATAGGCCTGATGAGGAGCTTTCCCTTTGTCCTCTAGCACTATATTGGGATGCTGTTTCTGGACTTCTGGAAAGGATAGGCCCGATGGGGAGCCTTCTCTCAGGATTTGGTTTTCTGGTTCTATTTCTCATAAGGAATTAGGATTTTGTTTTGTTTGAATTCATAGCTGGCTGAACTGTTGTATGAAAAATTGAATGCATCTCTTGAGTTTGAAATAGTACACTTAGGAACTTGCCCTGTCAGTGTCATTTTCTGTACTTGTAAACTTGTCCTGCCTGTGTTGTTCTATCAGTGTTGTTCTATCTGGTCCTTTTTATCATCTGCCTCAAGGGCAGGAGAGCTGGACTCTTCTCTGAGCTCACTTTGGCTCAGTGGCAGCCAGAAGCCAACATGGGGTACTCATCTCTTCCCATACGATGAGTTCCTCTTCCCTGGTTGCCTATGCTACATGAAAGGAGCTAG